AGTTGCCAACTAGGAAAGACCTTTTAAAAAGGCATCTTTTCAAGCACTTTAAAAAAAGTCATATTCGTTTTATTTCGAAAAAAGTGTTCTTTCGCCATTATTTTACAGTAAAAGAGGTTGCAATTTTTAGTTTTCGAAAAATAAAAAATTACAGAGTGATAACTCGGCTATTATTACACCTACGGTAATCAACAAAAAATGAGTCGATTTGTTATTCCAAAAGCTTCGTTTTTGATTTATCCGAGTTATGCGATAAAAGGCAAGGTTTTCGAGTTACTTATAAAACATGGCAGAAAAATATGCAGTTTTTAGATGAAAAATCAACATTTTCAATCCTATTTAGGATTGAAAATAACTTGGAAAATATTAATTTTCTGAAAAAATGTTATAGAACATTTTTTCCTTAGAAATCATCCTTTATTACTTTTTGCAATTAAACTGGGTGATTTATTTTTCACCCCCGAGAAGGGGTGGCACGAAAGCACACATCGCTACTATGTAATTTTTGTTTCTTACATATATCTCTCCTCACTGTTAAAATTTCACGTCAATCGGTGCGGGTATCAAGAATTTGGAGGTAATACCCTATTTTTATAGTCGCTTACTGACCTACCCGTGACAATCCGAAGATTGTCTTACTTAAATCAAGGAAAATCTTTGATTTTTCTTGATCGTAAATCCTGAGAAAGAAACATCCCTGCATGAAACGATGGAATTCTGCATTTACAAGAATTTTATATAAATTTTAGACTGCGAGCTATTAAACGACCATTTTATAGAGAAGCAAAATTTGGTTCCTACAACGATTTTACTCCTTTTTTTACCGTTTATATTATAAAAGCACGCTAAATACCGGCTGTCGAGCAATCGATCAATCTCGAACTCAACAATTTCGAACGCTAAAAAAGTTTCCATTTATTTTGAATCGACCAAGCGTGCGACACTTGAAATATTAAACTGTGATTAAACCCGCCATTCGAAACGTGCACTTTATATAGTTTGACAAGAGTTAACTTTACGCGAAATACCTTTTAGTTTTTTATTTCAAAAACCCTATCGAAAAATAAACGATATCGTTGATAATACATTTTAACTATTGTTATGCTAATTTTTTACAGACATATTTAAATTATCAGGTAAATTTTTGACATACTTTTATTTGTATAAATTGGAGATCATAATTATGTGTATCCTTCAGTTTATCGTATTTTCATCTTAAAAAGTTTAGAAAATATTTTTTAAAAATTTAAATTATTTTTTTTTCTTCGTGTTTATTAGCCGACCATACCAACAGGTATGGCAGGCTATTAATACCAAAAAAAAAAATTTTTTTAATTTCACTCAAAATGAGAGTTATTTGGGTCATAAATGACCTAAATACAAAATATTTTCACGGTGTCTGTCTGTCCGTCTGTAACACGATAACTGAAAAACCGCTAAACCGATTTTAACCAAATTTGGCACAAAAATACTGTGGCACCCGAGAATCTGTCCATTAGTTTTTAGTGGGGGTGGGGGGTTGGTAAGGGGGTATGGGAGGGGGCTAAAAATTTTAGAAAATCGTAACTCCAAAATTACAGTAGCTAGCGAAACGCGGTTTTCAATTTAAGATTAGGAATAATATTTGCAACAAAATTTGTAATAACATCAAAATCAGTCAAAGTCACAGTTTTTGAGATATTTCGTGTTTCTGTAGTCCGTTTTTGAGAAAATCCGTGTGGAGAACTCCAAACTCCCATCGAGGGAATGCAATCCCGCAAATGCTGGATCCCGCAAATGCGGGATCCCGCTGAGAATCCGCGGGATCAAAATTGCGGGATTTACCGTGCGGGATCTGCGGGATTGACACATTACTACTGGGTAACCGAATACTTAAATCCCCTTACGCCTTGGCCATTAAAAATAAGTGAAACAAACACGTTAGTTGTTAGATTTCTTTCTGGCGTATGTGCGTAAGCAGCGTAAGTGAAGAAAAGTGTTTAACTAGTACTTGTGGACAATTTCGTCAAATAAACTGCCGGACAAGCAAAATTTTAAGGTAAATTTAAAGTTGAATATCTCTTGAACTAAAAAAGATTTTGGGATGTGGTTGGGACCAGGTTTTAAATGCATCTATTGTGACTAAGATGCTATGTGGTTTTCGAAAATATATTTAGCGAATTATCGTATAGAGGGTGTTTTACAAGAGTGTGAAAATTTAGTTAAGTATCTTTTTTACCGCAAATTTACAATTCTTAAAAAATCGAAATTTTTACCAAGTACGACAGTACGACAAATCTGTATTGAAAATAGAAAAAACAATTTGATCGGTTTTTTAATTTTTTTTGGTTTTAAGGAAAATACGACGTTTTTTCGAAAAATATGCATTTTTAATCATACGTATGGTAAAAGCTTTGTACATTCTGCATATGCCAAAAAATTATTGATATAGAGTGTATCTAAAAGCAGATAGCTAACACAAGTTAAAAAAAACTTCAACATCAGAATAATATTTTTATTTATAAAATAAGTAGATAAATTATAATAAATAAGTTTATTTAATATTAAATATATTCTTTGAACACCTTGTATACATCAGTCCAAATTTCTGTACAGCTAGTTTAAAATACACGCTATATCAATATATTGTGGGCCTATGCAAAATGTACAATGCCTTTTGTACCATTTAGGACCAAATGTATGACTATAAATGCATATTTTTCGAAAAAACCTCGTATTTTCCTTAAAACAAAAAATTTAAAAAAACCCACCAAATTGTTTTTTTTCAATTTCAATACAGATTAGTCGTACATAGTTAAAATTTCGATTAATTGCATAAAACCAATATATTAGCAAGTTTAATAGGTTAAGTACAAAGAGGAGAATTTATTGTTTACAATCCCGCAATTTTGCGGATCCCGCGGGATTGATTGCTTTAATCCCGCAGGTTTGCGGGATTGAGATTTTGGTGCGGGATTGCATTCCCTGCTCCCATCGGACGTGACCCCAGGTGGCGGATAGGGGAAATAACCGCGGACCAAAATTGAAAATATTCCTTTACTTTGAAACTAAAAGAACTGCCTCCCAACTTTTTATTAACATATTTTAGTACGTGCGCCCGCGATTTTTTTTTTATTTTAATTCAGCTAATTTAATAAAGGGACTGTCTGATTATCTATAAAGTCTGTCCTACACGATGCTTCTTAACGGATCCTGGACGGATCATTTGGCATTAGGCCGGTCCCACACAATGTGTCAAACACCTTCCAACGCTGGACACATGAACATTTGCCATATCGTGTAGGAGACACACTTGTGAATTGCAATATTGTCGAATGGCCCCTCTACACGTTGGCCAATGCATGTGCCAATACGCTGACCAGCGCGTTGGGCCAACGTGTAGAGGGGACTATTGGTCTGTTGGCTGCACTGGCCGAGTTGCCCCAAGCATTGGCGACCAATCCGTTTGCCGTGGTTTTTTCAAGATATTTTAAAAATGAGCCCTCTACACGTTGGCCAATGTGTTGGCCAGTGCGTTGACCAATACGCTGGCCAATGCGTTGGGCCAACGTGTAGAGGGTAACATTGGCCGTGTTGGCGGCACTGGCCGAGTTGGCCCAATTATTGGCGACCGATCCATCTGTTGTCGGTTTTTTCAAGACACATCAAAGGGAGTTGGTATTGACCGGTGATTGGTCGGTGATATTTTTCTGTGTGTATACGGGGTGTCTCAATATTTTCAGGATATAGAACTACTACTTATTTTTTTGGAGTCAAGATAAGTTCATTGGACACAATTTACCTCTATACAAAAGTGTTTTGTTTGCCCGTTAGAGGGCATTAAGGAGATTATTTTAAGAACCAATATTCCGATTTGAACTAGATTTGGTGTTTCTATGTTTTGCTAAGTGTTTTAACAAGGTGAAAGGTAAGAACTACCCCCACTCCTACTTAAATAATTTTAATAAAAATATTTTACAATTCTACCGACGACTTTTTTTCCGCAAAATGGACCTCATAGTATTTACTAAATTTTTTGACCCTTGTAAAAAACGCCACATCGCCTAGATTTTGAGAAAAAAAAAATTGAAGAATTTTTGAAGTGAAACTTCTTTACGCGCAATGGGAGTAAAAACTGAAGGCCGGAACACGGCCGAGACGGGACGTGAGACGAGACACTGGCCAACACATTGGCCAACTTGTAGAGGGATCAGAAGCCTATGCCAAATGAAGATTCCAACGTTGGAACCAACGTTGGCTTCGACAATATTGCAGTTCACAAGTGTGTCTCCTACACGACGTGGCAAATGTTCATGTATCCAACGTTGGAACGTGTTCGACACATCGTGTGGGACCGACTTAAGAGCCTGTTACGCTGTACTGTTCGGGTCGCTCTCAGGAGTCGGGTAAAGTGGGTGAGTGGCCGAAGGAAATATATATTATATTTCAGAAATCTGCCTAAAACTTAGCCCGATCCTGTCGTGTTAAGCCACATCCGAAATTCCAAACACACGTGCTTTGATTAAGGCTTGATTAAGGTTTGCAAAGCTTCAGTATTTGCCATAAAATAGTGAGCAGTTTGTTACAAAACCATATAAATTATATATCACTGTAATTACAAAACTTCAATCTATTTTCGTATTGTAACGGAATTTTAAATTATGTCTTTATTTTCGAGAAAATTTAGTCCAACCATAAGGAATATTTTGTTGATGATTGACCATCAAAATCTTAAAATTAAACAAGTTGTCTAAAAATGTGCTACAATACGGATATAGTATAATCCTTTATCTTTAATTTCCTTCTTCATTTGTGTAAAAATACCTAGACAGGTTTACATAAAACGTTAAATGCCGAATGCTTATTTTGCTATTTTTTCGGACTAGTGAAATGGACTCTTTATAAAATAGCCAAGCTGGTGCATCTTAGAGCCGAATTAACTATAGCTGAATATTTTAAAATCTGTTAATTTAACTTCCTTTAGTCGTACACAAAAAATACCAAAAAGAAAATAAATAAATCAGTTATAAATAACAAACCTCCATTTATGTATTTACATATCTTATGAGCTTATTTATTAGGTAATATATTTTCACTAAAAGTATTCCATTTTTTAAACACAATAGCTTATAAAGGCCCATCTTATACAACCAATCATGTTAAGTAATTTGTTTTTTAATTATACTCATAGAGAAATAGTTGCAGAAAAACAATGGTATCAAATTTTAAGCAATTTGGTAACTTAATTCATTATACATAGGAATGATTTATTTATATACAATTTCTAGATATATATATTTTTTAAATACATTAGTTTATGTTGGCCTAACAGCTGAATCTCCAGGATCAATACATCCAATAACAGGAAGACATACAGTATCATCCACTTGCAGATCTGACACTATCTCATCTAAATCGGCATCACTATTGTACAAGAACTTGTAAATTTGTATTGATATTTTAGAATTATCATCTAGATCCTGAAAAATAGTTAAAATTATTATAAAAAGCTGTTGAAAGTAAAAAAAAACGGCGTCAAAGAGGGCTGGGAATGACAATCGATATTAATTTTGGGAGGTTAAGCCCTTGACGTCATTTACTAAAAATTGAGATAAAACTTGTCCAAAATTAACACTATACAGGGTGTTTCTCAAAAGTGTCTCACTCCTATAAGTTTTATTTTTTGATTGCATTGGTTTCCACTTCTATGCGGAGGGTGTTAATCTTTTGTTGTTATAAGCAAAAATAACCAAAAAGATTAACCCCCTCCGCAAAGAAGTTATATAAAGAGTATTTATAACCACGAAGTTGCACGCATCTGGCAAGTTTAGTATGGACAAATCGCCATATGTTTAATTATTTCGAATATAGGCCGAATTCGGCATCTGCCTCCAACATATATATACTATATACCAACACCTGGTATATATAAAAATTATCTCAAATATTAAACGGCACCATTTAAAAAACCATTTTTACTAGGTATAAAAATAAATTACAACCATCTTAAGGCCAACTGGTAGTAAGCATTATTAAAAAATAAAGAAGGGTACAGACCAAGTAAATGACGTCTAGGGCTTGACCTTACCAAAATTATTACCGATTGTCATTCCTCAGCCTTTCTTGACGCCGTTTTTTTTCGATTGTATGATATAATTTTGCGGACTATTACCTCTTCAGAATAGCCAGTACTGTATAGTTTTCCTCCTTGCAATATATGCTCTTTCAAAAACAAGTATCTCTCTGAAAGGTCTTCTTTACATTACTACTTAAAAATTGGGGTTATTTTAATTCTTACCTCGGTGCGGAACGCTCATGACAAGCGTGAAAAATTCATCTTCATCGATATCTGGGATGTCACACAAGACTAATCCCAAAAAACAAAACAGCAAAACTACACTGGACTTCATTTTTTATTCAAATGGTTAGAAGTTCGTTTGGCGCGCGACTACCTTGCTATGTTTACTTCGCAGCTTTAACATCGAGTGCCTAATGCGCGCATCCAGTGGCGGCGCTAACATTAATTAAAAATAATATAAAAATTGGGTGTAAATATGATTCATTCTTATACGGAGCGACCAACAATGATTGAAATAGTCGACAATACTGTGTTAAGGTGCGTCCAGACCTGACGAGACGAGAGCGAGACATCTTCTATCCATTTTTTGAAGCAAGCCTGTCACGAGACACGCTAGTTGGATCATAGTGAAAGAAACCCAAACATATATTAAATTGTAATTGAATATAACAAACGATTGCCAAATAATAACGCATACAATAATACATTTTTGTATCTTTTATCATGGTCTTTTACAAAATACGTTTTTAACATTTTTTAGAACAAAATGTTAAGAAGCACATTTTAAAATTACTGTAGAGTATACAAGGTACTTCAAAAAGTGTTATAAGCGGATATAACATATATTTTTTAATGGTATACCCTATTTTTATTTTATTATTAGACTCTACGTACAATTCGGTAACTTTTTTTGCATATGATATCTAATATTGGATTTGTAGATTATACAGGGTGGTCCGAACTGTATTCGGGAAACTTCAGGAGCATATTCTGCAGATAAAATAAGGAAAAAAGTTCGTATAAATGTATGTCCGAAAATGCTTTGTTTCGGAGATACAGGGTGTAGATGTTTCAGTTTTATTTCGATTTTTTCCAAATAATATCTGATGTAACGTCAATATTTGGATGAAAATTGGTGTCTGGGAAATTTTTGACATGAGAAATTTGATTTTGATGTCAATATGACTCCTACTTGTAGAGGGCGCCACCTACATATTTTTTAACTGGTTTGAAGAGTAATAACTTTTCGTCGGTACCTGTATAAAATTACTGAGTAAAAAAAATATATATTTACGATGTTTTCTACGTAAAAAAAGTCTCTTGTTAAACATGGCTACGAGTAATGGTTCTCCAGATATTTGGAATCGAAATTATCAATACCTGTCATCATTGACCTAAATTAAACATGTTGACTAAATAGTTATTAGACTGAAATCATAAATTTGAAATGTTTTTGTGCCAAAAGTTCAACAGAAACTGTTTCATCATAATTTTTCGAAGAATCATAAATTTTTCGAAGAAAGCAGTAATTAAAGTAGTAAAAGTAATCATAATTAATGATTAATTAAAAAAAATAAAAGGTTCCCAAATTTATCATTTTAGTCAAATAACTATCTACTTATCTCCTCAACATGTTTATTTTTTGTCAATAATGACATGTATTGACTGTTCCCATTCTAAATATGTTGAGAACGGTTGCTCGTAGCGAATTTTACCAAGAGACATTTTTTACGTAAAAAATCACGGAAATGTAAATTTCTTCACTCAGTAGTTTTATACAGGTATGGACGAAAAGTTATTACTCTTCAAAACAGTTAAAATACATGTAGGTGGCGCCCCCTACAAATAGGAGTCATATTGACATCAAAATCAAATTTTTCATATCAAAAAACTCCCAGACACAAATTTTCATGCAAATATAGACGTTACTTCACAAATTATTAGGAAAAAATCAAAATAAAAATTAAACTTCTACACCCTGGATCTCCGAAACTAAGCATTTTAGGACATTTATACATATTTTTATGTCCAGAATTTTTATACATATTTTTATGTCTAGAATATGCTGCCGAAGTTTCCGGAATACAATTCGTACCATCCTGTATATCTAAAACTAATAGATATTGTAATAATTCAATTTGTTTAAAGAACTCTTAGATTTCGGTACGGTAAAATAGAGGGATATATCAGTGACGCAAAATGTAGACGGCAGATGCAATCTTTTTCTTGGTTTGATGATTCCGGTTTTGTTTTTGTTAGGACACTACTCCCAGACTTAAAAACAGTTTTAATTTTATACTGCTTAGCTATTCGACTGATTTCCGATGTTCCTTTCACATATGGAATGGTCAAGAGAGAGAGAGCATCCTCCTCGCGCCCCAATGAGTCAGAGTTACAATTGGATATAATATGGTCTAGGGATCTTGCAGAGTAACACAAAGAACTCCATTGGAAAAGCGCAAATTTAAAGAGGTCGCATTTATTTCTAACAATAATAAAATCTTTAGCAATCCTAGTATGGAAATTTCAACAATATGACAACTTCTCATATAACGCTCTTAGTGGAGAACCTCATGCTTTACTGCACCTAACTAATTCACGGGTGAATGCTCGGCTCTAGTGTATAAAAGCTCAGTAGTTTTAGGATTTAGTTTAGTTCACACTTGATAACGGTCAGTGATACTTTGAGTTTTAATATTGAATCATTGTCTACCCCCACTATAATCATTGTCCCACTGATTTGAAAATAAATGGCATTCCAATTAATAATATCCGATATGCGGATGACACAGTGAAATTGGTAGATAATGCAAATGATCTCCAAATCCTTCTAAATAAGGTTAACAATGAAAGCCAAAGACTGGGCTTAAACATAAATACTACAAAAAACTAAATTTATGGCTGTTAGCAGAAACAACATTCCGAACACCAGAATTTACTTAAATGGAGAGGTCATCAAGCAGGTTACACAATTTAAATATTTGGGATGCATGGTTAATGAAACGTAGGATCCAGATCAGGAGATCAAATGCAGGATCGAACAAGCAAAAGATCTACTTTTTTGAAACTTCGGAGATTTCCACACGTTGGAACTTGAGCTTCGGCCTTAGATACAGAATGGTGAAGTGCTATGTCTGGTCCGTTTTGTTATATGGTGTGGAAGCATGGACACTGAAGGTAGCGACGATAAACCGAATTGAAGCCTTCGAAATGTGGACCCTACGACGAATGCTAAGAGTGCCCTGGGTCGACCGTGTGAGGAATGAAGACATTCTCAGAAGAGTTGGTCTAGAAGAACGTGAACTCTTCGAAATCATCAAGAAAAGGAAAATAGCCTATTTGGAACACATACTACGTGGAGAACGCTATAACTTTCAGCGTCTGATTCTCCAGGGTAAAATAGAGGGGGGCAAAGGGGGAATAGGCCGAAGGAAGCTATCCTGGCTGAGAAATATTCGTCATTGAACAGCCATACAGGACTTCCAAGCAGTCCAAGTCGCTGCAATTAATAGAACCATCTGATGAGGAAGAAAAAGATGAACGCCTACGCACGAATCTGCACGGCATCTTAGAATGTAGAATGAGTAAAAAGCGGGGGTTAATCACTGCCACCTTAAAGTTCTAGAGTGCCCTCCTTCCTTGAGTCATCACACAATCTATAACCCATCATACCCCTGTTGTAGAGGGGACAGGGTATTTCCCAGCCTCCTCTGAGTTCTTTTCTTCCTCCGAGGGTACACACCCTTCCACGGTTGGAGTTTGGCCCTCCGTGCCGCTCTTCACAGTCGAGAAGGTTGCTTCCGGCTGAGGAACCTGTGAGGTGGAGGCTGAAGGATCTTTTTTATTTATTTATTTATTTATTTATTTCAGTCTTTAGGATACAAACGGAACAAAAGTCCAAAACTAGTATCCTGATATTACAGTTTACAATAATTTTCCATTAACAATATTATAAGTTATAAAACAAGTAACATCTACAATATATTTAGATTTCTTAATTAATACAATGAATAGAGGTAGTGCGTTTTGCAGGTCCCTGTAGTCTATATATACACAGTATCACAGGACAGGAGATCGGTCTACTCTAACAATTTCAACTTAAGCCTATTCTTAAAGGTTAGTAGATTTTGATTGAAAAAATCTAGTTCAGAATCAGAACAATACCAGTTAGCAGCCCTAACCATCCTCACCAATGGTGCATTCTGGTAATAATTGGTCCTACAATATGGAACCCAAAAGAGGTCATGACCCCTCAGCGCACGATGGATCTGTCTCCATTTCTCCACCTCTTTAACTTGGTCTTTCCTTAGACCTTATACCAGTATTGTCCCGTATCTATAATAGAGGATATGTCCCTCTTTCTCTATTGCCTCCTTGGATTTGAGGTCAATTCCTATTGTGAGAATCTGACCATGACCCTCCTCCCTCGAGTTGATGACTCGCCAACTCGATGTCCTTACATTGAAGTTCTGACCTTGGATAAGGCTCAGCAGGTAGGTGGTGTCTTTCCCCTTGCTCTCGGCAGAAAGACCGTTATGGCCGCCCCTTTAGGGATGTTTTCTCCCTGTGATGATTTTGAGGTACACAATCTATGAGGATCATGCCCACCCGAAAGTGTATCCCCGCAAAACGCAGCTGACCCACATTTTGTAGAGCGTTGTGTTGCGATCCGATCGCCACTACTTCGTCCAGTATAGCCTCTTCTAGAGACGTTTGCTGGTCGGTGGTCAGAGCAACCTCTGGGAAATCCTTTGGCAGCACCGCCATTTTCACTTGACCAGCAATAGCGGCAAAGCTGGTGATACCCCAAGTAGCATTTTCACGACTTGCGACCAAATGTTTACTAAACACAACGTTGGATTAGTTACAAAAAATAGTTAGCTCCCTACCTTGAGTATTAAAATAAATTTAAACGTTTTTATAACGTTGTGCCGACGTTGGACTAGTACTACAGCAAAGTAGAAGCTTCTGCGACGTCGAATAAACGTTGTCTTGTAACCTTTTTTGCTTAGGTGATTCGGACAACGTAGTTACAACGTTGGACAATATAGAGTTTTCCGACGTCAGTTTCAGGACCTATTCCAACGTTATGCAAACGTCGTCTGTTTTACTAATTCCAACGTTGTTTAGATTTCCTTATTCTTACGTTGGTAGGACGTCGAGTCTCTACCTTTTGCAACTGTATTGAACCATAACCTTAAATCAAATTTTCACTTCATTGTTCTGTTCAGTCAGACAGTTCAGTGCTGTTTTTATTTTTTATAAAAAACTTAATTAAAATGGGACATAAGAAAGGTACATATAAAACTAAATTTAAATATACATCGACATATATTACCGATAGTTTATCCACTCCTCGTTTATTTAGATTATAGAAGGCGGCACAAGCTAGATTCTAGGATGA